CCCTTCATTTCTTTTTTTAAATTTTTCTTCAATTATTTCATTTATCTTTATCCATTTATTTATTTTTATTTGACAGTAGAGGGATAGAGTGAGAGAGAATGAGAAAGAAAGTGAGAAAGCAAGCTGCCAGGTCTGGGACTTGAACCAAGGTCAGCCATGTGTGAGTCCAGCACCTTTAACCACCACGCCACCTGCCGGCCCCTCCCTTCATTTCTTCAGAAGGCAGAGTTTATAAGAAACAACTTCCTGGAGTCCCTGGCTCTGGCTCTTGGAGAGAGTTTAAAGCCTCAGAGCAAAGTGAGAGAAAGGTTAGACAGCAGAGGCAGTTTCAGAGGAAGAGGAATCTAAGATGGAGGAGGGAGTGGCAGAGCTTTCTAGAACCAGAAGGCACAGGTTTTCCCCGTGAAACAGAGCCCAAAAATGCTATTCCCAGGCCAGAGAACTTCAGAGAATAGGAGTTAGAAGTAATATTTGAAGCTAATCATGAGTCCTTCCCAGAGCACAACTGCTAGATGGGGATGTATCTCTGCTTCAGGAACCAAACACTAAGAGTAAAAGCAAATATTTGATGCTGAAGAGCTCTTAAGAACTGAAGAGTGCCATTTACTTATTTCTACTCGTCAGCGTGGGCTTAGGATGTTAAATAGATTAAAAGGCTAAGAGAGGTCAGTCACTCAAGGGAAGACTCTTCTTTTGCATCTCCTGACTTGGCTCTCTTTTCAAAATTGTTCCTCACCTTACCACACTCTGGTGGACAGTGCCGGGAAACTCAAAAGATGGCACACCCTTTCCCAGAACATCTTGGTGCAGGCGGAAGTCAGAGTTCTGGGGATGCCAATTCAAGAAGAGGGGTGGAGTCGAAACGTGCACTGGTAAAGGTTAAGGTGAAGATGAGTTTAGAAACATTCCCAAAAGGGAGAATCACAAAACTGGCAGGCTCCTTACAAATGATCACATCTATTACCTTCCCTTTCAGATGAGGAAAAATGATGCTCAGAATAGTGCTGTGATTAGAGCCAGTTAAGGGCAGAGGGAATGTGCACCGATTCCCAGGCCAGAACTCCTACCTGACACAGCCTCCCAGTTGAGGCTTGAATTTGGGAATCCATCCTAAGGATTACTTAGGATGGTTTTTATCCATGCCCTCCCTCGCCTTCTCGCTTGAGAGTTTAGGTGGCAGAAGTCGCCGGGGCTCTGGCAACCGGAGAGAAGTCCAAGATACCTTGAGCCAGTCTGGGTTCTAGAACTCTGTCCCTGTAGTTTCCGGCCTCCACTGTCCTCTGCCCACTCCCTGCTCCTGCTCGGTCTGCAGAGAGGAAGGCCAAGTCATTTCAATGTAATCTTATTTAAAAAGACATAACTAATAAATCTATTGCTGTAGACGCGGAAAGATGGCCAGCAGAGTCGATCGAGCTCCCAATCCCATTGAACCCCATTGAAAACCATGACAACACCGGACAAGCTCCGATTTATCCCGGAGCGCTAAAGCGCATTGTGAGCAGGCGTCAATCACGCATTATTCCCGACTGAACAAATGCAAAATCTTGACTGGAACAAATGCTTCCAACAGGTCCGGGGCGTCGAGCTCCATTTCCCCTTTGTCCCTGCCTAGCAGTTGGCCTGTATTGGAGTTGCCTCCGCCCGACCACCCAGCGCGCTGCGCAGTCCAGGGGCACCTCTGGCACGCTTGATAGGGAGGGTGTACGGACCCGGGCGGGGCTGTGGCGTCCAAATAGGAGCCAGGTTCTAGTTCAACCCGGGCAGAGCCAGGACTTTGGGTGCAGCTACCCAGGCGTGGCTCCCCTTGTTAAAATGTAGCAACAGAAGACACAACCACTAGCTGCAGGTGGAGAGGCTTCTGAGAGCGCTGAGGTTGAGCCCTGGACTGACTCATGGCCAGGGCAGGGCTGTGGGCCGACAAGTTGTATCCAGGCCCGCCAGCTCCCTGCGCCTTCTACTTTGATCATTTTCTCAGGGAGGGAGGGAGGGAAGGGACTTGAAGACCTCAGAGAAACCCGTGACTGGACATATTTTCTGCTTGGTGGACATGGAGTAGGCCAGGTACGGAGAGGAGCCTGCAGTGCTGGAAGTCGGGAGACCCAGGCCACCAGTTTGCTCCTGAGCAGAGGTAGCAGCCCAGGCATTGGGACTTGGGTGGAGACTATGGGCCAAATAGGGCAGGTGGCATCTGGGGTAGGCAAAGAAGCCTCAAAGCTCTCCTAGGCCTTCTTTCCCAAAGCAGCCTCTTAGGGGCCCTGGAATAGGCCGGCACCGCTCACTGGGCTCATTCCCCGAGACTGGCCCAGGGACTGGCAGCTGTCAGGCACTTCACACCTGAGCAGTTTAGACACCCACCACCTCAGTTTTGTAGCCTAAGGAGATCAATGTCCACATTTGTCTGGTCCCTTCTCAGGCTATGTGTGAGAGTGGAGAAGAGGGGGTGGGGATGGGGTTGAAGTGTGGGAAAGAGGCACCCAACGGCCTAAGAAACCATCTGCCCACAAGCTGGCAGGGCCAGACCACTCTCTGTACCCTTCTGGAACTTTTCGTCCTGAATTTTTAGTAGGGCACAAGCAAAGAGTTGGAGCCTGCCGGAGTTGGATGCAGCTTTGTGAATCACTTCGCAGATCACTGCGGGAAACTAACACTCCAGCAAACAGGCTCGGGGGATAAAGCAAACAGGGAATAAATTCCTGGGTGCTCATAAACCCACTCATGCCGCCCCCACCTTTCCCGGCATTTAGGCGGGGCCATGCCCCACATCCAGCCTGGAGGAAGCTGGGGCTGGGTCGGAGGAGTGATGGCCACTGCTCGCCACCCAAGATGTTATTCACTGGTAACAATCCCCATTATCTGTCCCCACTTTGGGCTAATCAGACAGAATCGCTAATGCCGAGGGCTGCTTCCTGCGGCCTCTGGGAGGTAACGGGGCGCCAAGGGGCGGAGGACTGGGCGGGGCGGGGGCGGAGGTGGCATCTTCCGGGCTCGCCCTGGCTTTGGTCCCACACTCATTCAGGTACTTAACACCCAGGAGATCCGGACCTCGGCTTTCAAAGCGGCCGGGTGGGAAGAGCTGTTTATATAAACAGCGATTCCGCTGTAAATGCGCTAATATCCCAGCGGCCAGCGCATGGCGAGAACCTCCCACACCCACCCGTAGGAGCAGCGTGCCGGGCCGCCCCTGGGTTCCCAGCCCGCCCTGCCCCCGCCTCCTTCCCCTCCTCGACCATGGCCACCTCTGGACGCCTCAGCTTCACGGTGCGCAGCCTCCTGGATTTACCGGAACAGGACGCTCAGCCCCTGCCGAGGCCTCAGCCAGAGCCACGCGCCCCCCGGCCCGATCCCTGCGCAGGCTGGCTGGAGTCGGAGCGCAGCCATTACCCCTGTGAGTGAGCCGAGGACTGCGGAGGGGATGGAGGGAGCAGAGCCCTGCCCAGGCGGGGCCGGCAAGCAGAAACCCCAGCCAGGGTCCGGATGTGCCGAGCCACGGAACCTGAGGCTCTGTTGGTCCCAACCCCTACCCCCTGCGTTCTGGTCTAACATACGGAGAGCACATCTCTGCGCCTGCCACTAGCGCCCGGGATTTGGGTTTGTTTGGGGAATCATGGGGGGTCGGAATATTTAAATATCTTAAACATCTTCCTTAAGTACCTGAAAACAGAGCCGCGTGCTCCAGGCCTCGGTCTGGGATGGGCAGCATTGATCGGCTTACCTACCCTTCCCATTCCCGGCTTTGTAAACCATGGCAAACCGTAATGCAGTCAACCTGGAGTCCGCCCGTGTTGGTGACCCAGCGCAGCTGCCAGTGAGGATATTTTCAGAGGGCCCCGGGTGGGGTTTGGGGGGCGCGATCGCAGGCCTGGCGATTACTGCGGTAGTGTGAATGAGGTCTCTGAATTCGGAGAGGTGAGTGTCCAGATGTGGACGCAGAGAAGCAAATGGTCTCTCCCAGAAAGCCGCGTGCGAATGGAGGCGCCCTCCAGCCCGCGGTTCATCGCCGGCTCGAGAAGGGCAACAGGCCCTCGGAGGGACTGGCATCTCACCAAGCTGTGTGTCCTTTGCGGTCCTTAGCCTCGGATGAGAGCAGCCCAGAGACCAGCCCTGCAGACTCGCAGCGGTCATCCGCTCCGCCCGGGTCTCCAGGCTCCGAAGCCGAGAAGAGGAAGAAGCGCCGGGTGCTGTTCTCCAAGGCGCAGACACTGGAGTTGGAGCGGCGCTTCCGGCAGCAGCGCTACCTGTCTGCACCCGAGCGCGAGCAGCTGGCGCGCCTGTTGCGCCTCACGCCCACGCAGGTCAAGATCTGGTTCCAGAACCATCGCTACAAACTGAAGCGCGCTCGCGCGCCAGGGGCGGCGGAGCCGCCTGACTTGGCAACCTCGGCTGAGCTGCACGCAGCTCCGGGCCTGCTGCGTCGCGTGGTGGTGCCGGTGCTGGCGCGGGACGAGCAGCGGGGAGGCTGGCACCGCCGCAGCCCAGGACAAGTGCGGCGCTCCGCCGGCCGCCGCCGCCTGCCCTCTACCCGGCTATACCGCTTTCGGGCCCGCCTCCGCGCTCAGCCTCTTCCCAGCCTACCAGCACTTAGCGCCCCCCGCCCTGGTCTCCTGGAACTGGTGAGGCCGCCGCGGGTCTCCTGGGGGAACTCCAGACTTTAGAGCGCGCTCTGCGGCTGGAGCAGGGCTGAGGCTGAGTTGCTGTCGCGCTCCTGGCCCGCCTCCCTTCAGGGCCCACCTCCTTCGGCGCCGCCGGGGTCCCCTGGTACACCTTCGCCTGCGGTCGCCAAAGCGCAAGCAGGGAACCTGCCGAGAGCCCCCTCTGCTCTTGTCTCGACCGCCAGCCCCAGAGCTAGATTTTATTGCTTGAGCCTTATTTGTATATTTTTAAATAGCGGTTTGTACGGGAAGCAACCTATTTTGAAAGAAATAGAGTATTTTTCCTTTTTGTGATGCGAGAATAAAATGTGCAGGGTCGGGTCCCCTGCGCGCTTGCGGGGAACTCAGGTGAGAACCGCGCTCTCCTGGCTGCAGTTGGGATCACCCGCCAGCTCCTAGACCAGCTAAATTGGGGACTCCAGGTCGGATCAAAGAACAAACAGATTGCAGTTCCAACCTGGCTATAGAAAGATGGGGGAGGGGAGATACAGAAAGAAAAGGAAGAGGGGAAACTGAGGCAATCTGGGGTCCACCTCCGGGAGGTGACCCTGACGCTGGGCCCTTCTGGGATCTTGGAATTGCTGGCTTTTCAGACACCGCAAGTCAGCCCTGTATTCGAAGACAAGACAGCGGGGTCGGGTGCCCAGAGCACTGCCCAAAGCAGCCCTTCCGGGCACAAGCCCTTCGTTCCAGAGTGTGAGAGCCAAGTACCAGGAGACTCATAGAGACTGGGAAGCTTGTAAGCCCAAATTCTGCCTGCGAGTGCCCCCTTTAGCTGTCACGCCTTGCCTCCTCCTGCCACAGCACCTGGCTGGGGAGATGGGGACGACGTAGTGAAGAAATCGAAAGGTGGCAGGGAGCACCTGACCCTGGGCACTGCCTCGGGGCGGCCTTGGGGAGACGAGCCGCCAGCTGCGGAAGGAACACCTGGTGGGAAGTAGGAGGCTGATCCTGGGGCTGTGTGTGCTGGCTGGCCTCATTTCACCGGCGCTCCCAGTACGCACTAGTGTCCAGAACCGCGTGCTCCACCCCTTAGATTTGTAACTGTCCTCGCCCCAGTATCCGGTCCTGTAGGCCCTACACAGGTCGCTAGCAAAAGTGGCAAACTCATTTCCCCATGCCCACGGCCAGATGAGCCTGAGGAGAGCAGTCTGGACATCAGCTCCAGGAGAGGGAGCAATCCCCTGCCCCCAAGAGGTCTGTAGGGAGCAGGCACTGCGCGCGTGCGGGTCAACTTTCCTGTTCCAGGAGGAGCAAGAGGAGGACTAACGGTGTCTGAGGCAGTATTATCACCTGGGAATTTCGGGAGGGTGGGGAGAGAAAAGATGATTGAGGGGGAAGGGGGTGGGGTGTTTGGGTCTCAGCTGTCGGCCACCTTGCCTTCCATATGGATGCGGTTATCTTAGAAGAATCTCTATCCTTAAACCTCCTTTTGTCTTGGGAACTGAAAAGGGCATTGTCAGGCCTGAAAAGGACCTAGACAAAATCCGCACTGTTTTGATTCAGGACTCTGTTTAATCAGTCCCTGCTGACAATGTAGTGGGTGTTAGGCAGGACAATAGTATCTTTTTAAACCTTGTGGCCTTAGGGAAGACAAAGGGCTTGAATTTTATGGGCTTACAACCTCAATTAGAACAGTGCCAGTGTGCATGGGAGATTATCAAATTTGTATCATAAAACCCCTTTCTAATAAATGATTACTGGGGAGGGAGCCTGGACATTGTAAGACATATAGGGACCTGCCAGGGGGCTTCCAGTTAGCCCTGCCTGGCAGAGCAGATGGGGGAGAAAAGGAAAGGATTCCTGAGGAAGGCCAGGGCTGGGATTTGCCCCTATGGTCAGCTGGCTGGGCTCTTAGCTCTTCCTCACTTTCTCCGGAGGGGTACTTTCTCCAAGAATGGGTAGTGGAGATTCATAGCTTGTTTTCTGCCATTGCCGTGACAAAGACCTGAATGTTGTCAGGGAGAAAGTGGAAAAGAAATCACTACCTGTCCATTCCTTGCCTTTTCTTCTCCTAGAACTCCATAGGACCAAGGGATTTGGACCATGGGGGGTCCTTCTTTCCAGGAGGTTCGTTGGGAAGGCATACCCTCAGTCCAATTCTCTCTGGTCCTAAATGGTGAGTCAGAGGTCTAAGCACTTAGACCAGCACCGCTTCCCAGGGAGGCAGCAGGGACCACAACAGGATGCCTGCCAAGACCAGCTTGTGCCCTGAGCAGGGCAGTCCTTCCCTATGACTGTAGGACCAGCAGCAGGAAGAGATAAACTGTTACCCACTTCCTTCCACCATTTTTCCTGTAGGCTGATAAGGTCCTTCCTTTAGTGAAGAAAAACCATAGGGGAGAACTGAAAATGCACTCCTGTCACCTCCAATCCAATTTAGATTCGGTTTTCATTCTCTTTCTGTTCACACCGATGTTAAGCTGGGAAAGATAAATGTTGATTTCCTTAGTGACCAAAGAGGTCAGCTCTTCTGGACTCCAAGGCCATTCTATCAGCAGCTGTGAGACAGAATCTCGGTCCCTAGATGAAAACTTTTCAAACCTGTTACCCGTCTTCAACATCACAAGGCAGATTTACACTCAGCAAACTTTTATTGGAACTTACCCTATTCCAGGCATTTTTCTGTACACTTTAATACGCAGTCTCACAGAAGCCATATGCAGGCATCCCTTAGTATCTGCAGGTACCATGCAGGGGATTGGCTACAGGATCCCCTGCAGACACCAAATCTGTGAGGAGGCTCAAATTCCTGACATAAAATAGCCCAGTATGTGCATATAACCTACCCACACCCTCCTATATACTTTTAATCATCTCTAGATTACATATAATATCTCCGATGATGTCAATGCTACCTAATTATTGTACTGTATTGTTTAGAGAATGACTAGAGAAGTCTGTTTAATGTTTAGACAGTTTTCAAATATGTTTTAATCCACACTTGTTGGGTCTGCAGATGCAGAATATGCAGATAAGGAAGACAGATACAAAACAAAACTTTATAGATACAAAACTTTTTAAAATTATCATTTCTGATTTATATATAATCATATGTGTTTGTGGGGTACAGTATAGTTTTTTAGGTTATGTGTAGTGTTTTATAAATAAGAAACTGAAGGGGCTGGCAGGTGGTATAGTGGTTAAGTGCATTGGACTCCCACATGGCCCACTATGGTTCAAGTCCTGGATCTGGCGGCTTGCTTTCTCACTTTCCCTCTCTCTCTCTCTCATTCTGTCCCTCCTTGGTCAAATAAAAAATAAATAATAAAATTAAATAAAATAATCATTTTAGAATTATTTTATCTCATTTATTATCATCATTATTATTTGTTTAATTTGACCAGAGAGAGACAGAGAGAAAGGGAAGTGAGAAAAGCACGCCTCCAGGTCTGGGACTTGAACCGTGGTCAGCCATGTGGGAGCCCAATGCCTTAACCACCATGCCACCTGCTGGCCCAATAAAATAATTCTTAAATGAATAAATAAGAAATTGAAGCTCAATGAGTGAGGATAAGAAACTTGCCCAAAGCAGTTACGAATCTCCAAGAACGTTGCCATTGTACTCAATTTAACCCGCATTTATTTAGCCTCTCTACAAGCTGCCCTTAAGGAGGGCTATTGTTGCCTTTATGGTGAGTATGTTCTGTGCCTCCTCCATACGCCCCCGTGTTACGGAGAGTCTGGAAGGATGCGCATGCCAGCGCACTCTGTACGCTCACTGCTCACAGACGCTGACCACAATGGCCCACGAGTTGCTAGCACATACTGATGTTTCCCGTGTACCGGGCAATATTCTAAGTTCTTTTCCTCATAGTAGCTTATTCATTCCTCATAACTCCATGAGCTAATATTACTATCCCTACTTTACAGATGAGGAAACTGAAAGTCAAAGCAATTGAAGTGACTTATCCAGGACCCAACAGCTGGTAAGGGGGGGAGGGTAGTACAGCTCCCGATTATACACTTTGAGTTCACCACGTGGTGGGAACCGTTTCCCATTTGTTTACATTGTATTTCTCCCAGTTGACAGTCCTGATTTCCTTCCTCACAGATTCTTCTCTAAAGACATGTTCTTTGGTATCTCTCCATCTGTCCCTGTCCCTGTTCCCCCATCTACCAACCCTCCAGCTCTTGGACACAGCCTCTGTGTTTCCCGTGTACATCTGTTTGTGTGCATTCTTGTCCAGCTATCACTGAAAAACAGCCCTTGTCTGCAGGTCACAACACTCTTCTGTGACTATCATTCTACCATTCTTCCTCCACAGAAACATCTGCTGCTGCTGTCTTGGTGCCAGTTGTCCCCATGGTGTCCAGTCAGTCTCTGCTGACTCTGATAAGCAACTCTAAGCTTTTCCCACCCCCCAGGCTGAGCTCCCTGTGGAGCTTCATGACCTTGGCTTTCCTAGCCCCCTTCCCCAGGCATCTCTT